ACAGGTCTAAATTATTTGTATCAACACTTGCTTCTAAGAGTGTTTTATATCTATTTACTATTCGTGATTTTCTACTTTAATTGAAGAGCCAACCCCTCGGTAATTTTAGTATGAGGATTTAGAAAGGACCTTCTCAACGCCCTCGACAACAAACACGATTCTGTTTGCAGAGACACGTTTGTATCGACAACAGCTGCAACGAGCATTGCTTTTATTTAAAATTTATTAAATGTTTGATGAAAATTAGTTGTATTTTGAAATTTAAAATTTTCCATATCGTATAGATATAGACGAATCACGAGGTAAACTTATCCTAACGATCCGCTCGGCCCGAGTCAATAAGTTAATATTACCCTCTGGTTTCAGGGTTGAATATAGCAATTGTCTAGTGGACGAGAGTCCTCATTCAAAATGAATCCGACCATTACTATACATATATCTCTTTATCTTCATCTCGTTTCTAGTTCCCTTTTTTTCAAACACAATTCTAGGTTTATATTATTTCTAAAATGTTAATTAACTATAATCCCTGACTTTTCCCTGAATTCCCTCTTCATCTCTTATTTGAATAAAATTTATAAATTACACTCGTCAGTTGTAACTGTCGCTAATTTCGAAAATAAGTCAAAAAAACTCATGTCTGAATGTGGAAAAGAACAAAGATCAAACAAGCTATTTAAAAAAAAAAAAATACTCCAGTTATAAAAATTCTCGAAATTTAAGAGAATATCACTAATTACACACGCAGTGAAACTTGGGAAAAAATGCCTTTTCACTTTAATACTCATTTATTTAATGGGCAAGTAAAGAAAAAAAGCGTCCCTATTATTGAAATTACAATACACTCGCAAGAAAAATAGGTAATGTGAGAACAATGTGCATTCATATACAAAAAAAAAAAAAAAAAATTGCAACGAGGAGAGCATTGTCTCCAAAACTTGTCGAAATGCAACGTCTTAGGCGTCTCTCGTTCCAGTTCCTTTTTTAAATCCCATCATCCTTCATTCTCTAACGCCTTTCATAAACTCTTTTTCATAGTCTTATTTTTTTCTCCTTTTTTTTATTTCTTTTTTTCGTTCATCTTTCACGGAGAGAGAATATAATGAAATGATGACGTGAGATGAACACGAGCCATCCTTGCAAAAATTAAGGTAAAGTCTTACCCCCCCCTCCCCTCACCTCACCCCTCGCATCAGCGCTTTTTTATTACATAAAGGCCGTGTCCGACTCAACATTTGGACCAATTCATTACTTGTCTAATTGACGACGTGAAATTCTTGAAAGGCATCATATAGTTTGCGCGCCGGAAACTTAGGCAGCTTTTGCAACCGGAAATCAAGCGCCGGAAGGAAACCACCGAAAACAATGCTATGCGCTCAGACTCGCTGATCAGGAGAAATTCAATTCGACAAGAAGTTCAATTTTTTTTTCTCTCTTTCTTTCTTTCTCTCTCGGAAAAGATAATTACTATGATTTTTTTTTAAATGAAAATTAATTTTTAAAAACTTCTTTTCCTTTAATCTGGTGTTTGATCAAAAACTGAAAGGAAAATTATTTGATTCAAATTAACTATTTAATTGGCTTAAATAAAAAATTATTCGATGCAAATAAAAATTATTTGATACAAATAAAAATTATTTGACACAAATAAAAATTATTTCATGACTCAATTTTTTATAATTTCTTAATTACATTCAAAAATAGAATAATTTTTTAAAATTTAAATACCTATTTATTTTGCCCACGGGAATTAAAATATTTCAAATGCTTTCAATGTAACGTATTTTTGAAATTGAACTATTTCTAAAAATTACAAAAGTAATTTTTTTCAAAATTCAATCATTTTTTTCTTGAAATAAATAAAATTATTCAAAACTTAAATTTTTAAGAATAATTACTTTTTAGCGGAATTAATTTAAAAGTATTTTAAAAATAATTGAAATTCTGCGATGATTTTGATTATTTTTGGAAATAATTTAATTCCTAAAAACAATTTTATAATTTATGATAATAATTTAGTTATTGCGAAGAAATTGTTAAAAAAATTTGTTAATTGAATTCCTGTAAAATTTAATTAATTTAATTCTAAAAATTACAAAAGTAATTCTTTCAAAATTCAATGATTTTCTTGTTCTATATACGAGAATTAAATTATTTAAATACAAAAATAAATAATTTACTAAATAAATGAATATTTCTTAAATTTGAATTCTTATCAGAAACTTTATCAACATTTTTTAAAATAATTGAATTTTGACGAAGATTTGCATTCAAATTTTTTATAATAATTAAATTCATTCAATAAATGTAATATCAAATTTTTTTAAATAATTGAATTTTTTCCAAGAATTTTATTCAAATTTTTAAGAATAATTGCGTTTTTAGTGGAATTAATTTAAAATTGCATTAATAATAATTGAATTCCTTCGAAAAATTTAATTATTTATAAAAATAATTAAATTCTTGTAAAAAATTTTTTTTTGCAAATTGTATTTCAAATAATTGAATTTTTATTAAAAAATTTTATCAAAATTTTAGAAAATAATTCATTTTTTCCATAGAATTTTATTAAAATATTTTAAATAATTGATTTCTTTCGAAAAACTTTTCTATAAATTGTTTATCAAATAATTGAATTCCTGTGAAAATTCTATTACGAATTACGAAAAATTTGGGAAAATAATTGAATTGTTTTAATGAATTTTATTAAAATTTTTGAAAACAATTGAATTTTGGAAAAAAATATTTATAAAATTAATTTTAAATAATTGAATTTTTGTGACAATTATTATTAAAATTTAAAAAAATAATTGAATTCCTGAGAATTTCGAAAAATATTAGGAAAATTCTGTTTTAAATAATTGAATTCCTGTGAAAATTTTTTAATTTATGTAAATAATTGAATTCTTGCGAAGAATTTTATAAACATTTTTTTTTAAATTATTTAATTTTTCTGGGAAATTTTTTATTAAAATAGTAGATATTAAAAATCATTGAATTACGAAAAATTTTTGAAAATAATTAAATCGTTAGAATTTTATTTAAATTTTTAAATTTTTTTCAATAACTTTATTAAAATTAGTTAAAATAATTTTTTTAATTTCAACTGTTAAGAAATTTCAAGTAGTGTAATTTCTTAAAAATGGAAAAAAGTAGCTTTTAGTGTAAAAAATAAAAAAAGTATCCAAATAGTAGCAAATCGTAAAAAAAGTAGTAAATAGTAGGTTTTAATAGATGAGTCCGATTGTCGGAAGTTAAGTAAATATTTAAAAATTAAGGGATTAGTTAATTTTTGCCAAAAGATTAATTCAACAGTAAAGACATGAGGAAATTGATATTTTTTATTTACTGTTGATAAAATTCTATTGAAGCAGCAGGAAACCACACACATAATATACATGTGTTCTTTAATCCCTTGTAAATATAGAAACTGCGGAGGCCACAAGTAAACATTAAACTGGTATATTTGGTAAAAGGAAAAAATAAATTTTTTCATAAAGGTGAAGTTTTTTAATGAAAAAAAAATTTTTTTTTTACCAACTCAATTGAAATTTACCGAAAGTTCAAATTTTCCTCAAACACTATTAAATTAAAATTATTTTAAATTAACTATAAAGTTAAAAAAAAAACTTAACTTCAAATACCAAATTGATACCAAAATTATCAAAGTTTATTTATTTTTATCGGATAAAAAAACGATTGGGAATTTATAAAAGTTTTCTAAATAAAACAATAATGGATTCAAAATGGCGAATTTTTTTTTTTTTGTAAAGAATCTTAGATTAATACCAGTTCGTTTTTCCGTTATAAATAACAAAAATACGTAAAAATAGGTAATGGGGCTGAGGGTTCACAAAAAATATCACGGATCCTCGCTTAGGGGGGAGTCGGGAGTCACTAATTGGGCAAAAAACCATGCACTAGATTTATGAACGACGCATTAACAGATTTAAATTCCATAGTCTAAAGTTTTTTTCTCGAATTATAATAAAAATCCTTTTCTTTTCATTTGGGGATCAATTTTTTATGATTCTCTTATAAAAATTCAAAAAAAAAAATTTAATCCATGCAAAAATTTTGCATTCTCCAAGTCACAAATAAGTGGAAAAGTTTTATTTCGAATTATAGTTATTGATTCATTTTTCAATTTATTTTTTTCGTTTAAATTTATTATTTAAAAATATGTTTATACTTTTAAATAATTTATTCTAAAATATTCTTCCACTCCAGAATAATTTTTTTTTTCTCTATAAATTTTAATTAGTAAACATGTTTTCTAATTTGAATTAGTTACTGACTGTTTTTAAATTAGTAAATTTTACTAATTAATAGTAATTGCTACTAATTTTTTCATAAATACTAATATTTATTATTTTCTATTATAAAAATATAATTTTTTACATTAATTTTAAATAATTAAAAAAATTTTTTAACTTGAGAACCAAATTAATTAGTAAATTTGACTAATAAACTTTTTTTTACTAATAAATTCTACTAATTTATTAGTAAAATTTACAATTTACCAATTCAAAGTAAAGTGATTACAAAAAAATATTTTTCTATGTTTAAAATTTTTATTTTCTATAAATTTTCAATTTTTTGAAATACTATTTAAAAATATTCCCGACGTCTAAATAATTAATTCTCAAAAAATGCTGAAAAAAATTGTATTTTCAAATAATTGACTATTTAAAAATACAAACACTGTTATGAAATATAACAGAACTTTAGTTGAACTGCAAATAGATTATGAAACTGTAATTATCTCTTAATTGTAAATAGAATATTTTAGTAAATATTAAAAAAAATTAAATATTAAAAAAATATTAGATATTAAACAAATATTAAATATTAAAAAAATATTAAATATTAAAAAATTTTCAAAGTAAATTCCGAGAAAGCAATATTGTCAAAAATAGCTCGGCGGTAATTTAATTCAAAAATAAACTGATTTTAGTTTGTTTCTGTCAACAAAGACAAAAATTCTATTATTAACATACCTTGTGCAGTAATTCTTCTACATGAAATTTAATAAAATCCAAGTCCTTCAGTACTTAACGATAAATAATAATTTTAACATCCCCACACTTGAATAACTTTTCTAATCACACATTTTTCTTTTTTTCAAACAATAAATCACTGATAAAACACTTTTTAGTCTTCACAAAAGCACTCAAATTCACATCATTGGTGGGAAAAAACAAAAAGAGTAACTGTTAAATTAAAAAATTTTGGCAAAAGAAAACTATTTCTGGTAAATAAATTTATAAAATATAAATAAAATTATTTATTTATAACTACTTTTAATAATTTAGTTCAACTTCAGTTTTTAAAAATTTAATCGATTTTAATTTTTAATTATTTAAAATTTACCAAATTTGGTTCTAATAATTTAATGAATTTTAATTCAAGTTTAATTGTTTTTAATAACTTAATGAATTTTAATTCAAGTTTAGTTGTTTTTAATAACTTAATGAATTTTAAATTCAAGTTCAATTGTTTTTAATAACTTAATGAATTTTAATTCAAGTTTGATTGGTATTAATAATTCAATTTAAATATTTAAAATGATGAATAAAAATTTCTTTTGGTAGTAAATAATTTTTTTTTTTTTTTATAATAAATAATAGGAATTTATTTATTTGGGGGGTACTATCACTTTATTGATACTGTATGCTACGTGATAACCGGCGCGCTGCACGTTGCACAGTGCCGGTTAGGATTTCGCGGGGTTTAGTAGTCAAACGAGAAATGCAATATTGTGATGCGCGCGATTCGGCGACTGCGCGTGCACTGTTGGTAAGTCGCGCGTCAACCACGTTTCATCCTCCCCCTCGCATCCGCGGAAACATTGCCCCAACTAACTCTCTTTGGCCCCCCTCACTCCCCTCTTCTCTTTTTCAACCATAATACGGGGTATTTTATAGTGTTTCATGGAGAGACCCCCCTCTGTGTTCATAGACTCTTTTTTTTCTCATAGGTAGGTGTATACTAAAAATTTAAGGGTGGCTGTAAAAAATTTCATTTCTTATAAATTTAATAATAAGAAATTAAATTCTTGTAAATCTTAAATTTCTTTCTAAATATAAGAAATCAAATTCTTACACTGAAAAAAAAAATTTAATTGATTCAAATAAACGATTAATTGACTATTATCAATTTAAATATTTAATTGAATCAAATAATATTTATTGAAGTCAATTAAATGGTTCAATTCATATTTGATTCAATAATTTCAGTATTGGAAGTAAATACCTTTTAATTGTCTCCAATTAATATTATTTAATTCAATTAAACATTTAATTGATAATATTATAGTAAATTACTCGGTTATTTGAATCAAATACACTTTTTTCAGTCTACAATAAATATTATTTCCTTCAATTAAATACTTAAATTGATAATAGTCAATTTATCGGTTATTTGAATCAAATGAATTTTTTTTTCAGTGTAAATCATAAAATTCTTATTTATAAATATATGAAATTTTTATATTCTTATTAAATATCTTAAATTTCTGATAAATATAAGAAATTAAATTTTTTCGTCTTCTTCGATGTTTTTCTACTCAAGGGACAAGGAAAAAATGAAAAGGTTTCACGAAAAAAAATATGGAACTGAATTTGTACTTTATTTTTAAGTCGCATCTAATAATAACATGTGCTGTCGCTTAAACCGTAGACTTACATTAGAACAACATGGGGTAAACTATACAATTCCGTGCATTCTATGTCACAAGCCTATATTTACATTTATACAGCAAAAGAAAGAAAATTCCTCTTACTCTTACTATTCCTGATATTTATATGCAAAGCAGATTTTTTCTAATTATCAAAATATTTTTGCATTCATAATTGCAGTTTCTTCTGCAGATATCAAATTAAGACAAGAAATGAATCAAAAAATTTTTTAAATAATTGAATTCATTGAAAGAATTTTAGAAAAATTTTTTAAAAATAATTGTATTTCTGAGAAGAATTTTATTATTTTTAGAAATAATTAAATTTTTGCGAAGTTTATTAATTTTTTTTTAAATAGTTGAATTCTTGCGAAGAATTTTTTTGAAAATTCTGAAAATAATTTAATTCCTGCAAATAATTTTTATTATCCATGAAGATAATTTAAATTTTTTTCAAAGAATTTCATTAAAATTTTTGAAAATAACAAAATTCTTTCAAGAAATAAAATTAAAACTTAAATTGAAAATAATGATTAAATTCTAGTAAAAAAATTATATAAATATTACTTTAAGTAATTGCATTTTTCGCGGAATTCATTTAAAATTGTATTAAAAAAAATTGAATTCTTGCCACGATTATTATTAATATTTTAAAAAATAATTGAATTCCCGATAAGAACTTTGTTATATTTATAAAAATAATTGAATTCTTGGGAAGAATTTTATAAGAATCTAATTAAATAATTAATTATTATTTTCGAAAAATATTAGAAAAATTCTGTTTTAAATCATTGAATTCTTGAGTGAAAATTTTTTTATTGATGAAAATAATTGAATGTTTGCAAAGAATTTTATAAACGTTTTTCTCTAAATTATTCAATTCTTTTGGGAAATTTTTTATTAAAGTAGTAGATAGTAAAAATCATTGAATTACGAAAAATTTGTAAAAATACTTAAATCGTTAGAATTTTATTAAAATTTTTGATTTTTTTCCAATAACATTATTAAATTTTTTCAAAATAATTTTTTTATTTTAACTTTTAACAAATTGAAAGTAGGGTAAATTCTTAAACATGGAAAAAAGTAGCTTTTAGTGTAAAACAAAAGTTTCCAAATAGTCGGAAATCTTAATAAAAGTAGTAAATAATAGGTTTTAGTAGATTGCGAAGCCTAATATCCTTAAAAAAACTTTTTTGAGACTTTCCAACCTTGGGTTTTTATGTTAATTTTCAATATAATCTGTTTTTCTGCTTTTTACCTTAAGTTTTGCGTAAAAAGAAACAACTTTTCTCTTAGACACGTTTTTGTACAACGAAAATCAAAAAAGTTATGACATTTTTCCATAAAAGTACAAAAAATTGAGATTTTTTTACTTTGAAAATTTCAAACTTTGGTATTATTGTTCATTTTCATTAAAATCTTTTTCACTGCTTTTTTCCTTAAATTTTGGTCAAAAACAAACATCTTTTCCTTTAAACACTTTTCTGTAGCACAAAATTCAAAAATGTTATCACATTTTCCCAGAAAAATAGAAAAAATTGAGATTTATTGGCTTTAAAATTTTCAAACTTTAGTATTTTTGAAAAATTTTCAATAAAATCTGTTTCTCTGCTTTTTTCCTTAAATTTTGGTCAAAAACAAACAACTTTTCCTTTAGACACTTTTGCGTAGCACAAAATTCTAAAAAGTTATGACTTTTTTTCAGAAAAATAGAAAAAATTGAGTTTTATTGGCATTGAGAAAACCAAACTCTGGTATTTTTGTAAATTTTTATTAAAATCTGTTTCTCTGCTTTTTTCCTTAAATTTTGGTCAAAAACAAACAATTTTTCCTTTAGACACTTTTGCGTAGCACAAAATTCTAAAAAGTTATGACTTTGTTCCATAAAAATAGAAAAAATGGAGATTTAGTGGGTTTTAAAATTTCAAACTTTAGTATTTTTGCTAATTTCCAATAAAATCTTTTTCACTGCTTTTTTCCTTAAATTTTGGTCAAAAACAAACAACTTTTCCTTTAAACACTTTTGCGTAGCGCAAAATTCTAAAAAGTTATGAGTTTGTTCCAGAAAAATAGAAAAAATGGAGATTTATTGGCTTTGAAAATTCCAAACTCTGGTATTTTTGCTAATTTTCAATAAAATCTGTTTTTTTGCTTTTTTCCTTAAATTTTGGTCAAAAACAAACAACTTTTCCTTTAGACACTTTTGCGTAGCACAAAATTCTTAAAAGTTATGACTTTTTTTAAAAAAAGCAGAAAAAATAGAGATTTATTGGCTTCGAGAATTCCAAACTATGGTATTTTTGTAAATTTTATTAAAATCTGTTTCTCTGCTTTTTTCCTTAAATTTTGGTAAAAAACAAACAACTTTTCCTTTAGACACTTATGCGTAGCACAAAATTCTTAAAATTTATGACTTTTTTAAAAAAAATGAGAAAAAATAGAGATTTATTGGCTTCGAGAATTCCAAACTCTGGTATTTTTGTAAAATTTTATTAAAATCTGTTTCTCTTCTTTTTTCCTTATATTTTAGTCAAAATCAAACAACTTTTCCTTTAGACACTTTTGCGTAGCAAGAAATTCTAAAAAGTTATGACTTTTATCCAGAAAAGTACAAAATATGGAGATTTATTGGGTTTTAAAATTTCAAACTTTAGTATTTTTGCTAATTTTCAATAAAATCTTTTTCACTGCTTTTTTCCTTAAATTTTGGTCAAAAACAAACAACTTTTCCTTTAAACACTTTTGCGTAGCGCAAAATTCTAAAAAGTTATGATCTCAGTTTTTCTACTAAATATTTGATAAGTATTTGATTTTTATAATATTGATAAATATTTCCTCTATTAGAAATCAAAGGTATATTTGCAATGATTTCCATTTTCCGAATTCAAAATGAATAGATTCAGCACAGCGTGTGGGAAAAAATAAAAGAGATTCGGTTATTTATTTTTTTTTTTGAAAATCTATGTACCGGCACTGATTCAAATTCAATGATCCGAGTCTGGCATGAAACTTGAATGAGTGCGGTGCATAACCATCAATGTGGATCATGGATGTTGGGGGCGCCAGACTGTTGCCTATCTCATGAAGAGAATTCACTTCACGTACGTGATGACGTGCCAAGGCCTGGGTTAATGCAATAAAGGTAGTACATAGTGTGTACGGACCATAGAGAGAGAGAGAGATGATAGAGATGTATAGTCGAAGTGAAACAACTAGAATCTAAAACAGGAGAGAAGTATAAACACCCACAGATGAGAGAGAAGATGAATATAGTGACAAGATTGCAGATTAAGATGGGGGATTAAATTGAAACATCAAGTTTACATTTCTGCTTTTTTTCAAACTTTTAACCAAATCTGGAAAATTTATCTGTAGTTTTAAATATTAAATTAACTATCATATGATCTGATGATGTTTTTTTAAATGCGACGATCAGATTTTTTTACGATTTTGAGACCGCTTTTGAATTC